TTTTATCTTTAAGAACTAAGCTGTAGTTGCACTTGATATCATTGTGAATCTTTCAAGATGCAAAATAATAGCCCAGCAAATATAAATACATACATGGGTGTAGGGTTTTATATCGTTTAGTTTTTATCCTAGTCAAGTTGAACGAACGCACAATGAAAAATGAGTCATAAATCAAATGTATTCTGACGTACTTTTACCGATAGGCACAAACTTTGTACATAAAATTTCGGTCAAACCCTACCGGACAGTTCGTAGCATTTGCAACTTCGAAAGTTACTTTAAGTAAAACCCTTTGATTATGATGAGGGAAGGGGGTTATTTAGTGTGAAGGTTATATTAACATAATAGAGGTGATATATAGTGATATGACCTCCAGATACGGGTTATTTTCCATAAAAGCTTTGTTGGATTTTATGATAAATTTCAAAAATGAGAAATAAAATGTTTTTTTTACAACTCAGTTAAGTAGCAACTGTTAGCATCCAATTACTCTACTTCTCAACCCATCTTTTCGGAGAGGATAATACGTTTTATTTCATGCTGTATGGAAATTCAATTGATTCTGTTTGGTACTAATTGTTCATTTGAGGCATTTATCCATATTGTGATTCGTAAAATAATTCTCATGAAAATGGAAAATCCGAATGTTCACTGATAACATCATTCTTCAACAACGAGTCACAATCCGCAGAACTGTCAGTATAGGTGTAACTGTCTAGGTTTTGATCGTTGCCGTGACCACCACGCGCATCGATTCTGTTTTCAGTGGTTGAGGGATCACCGAAGTGAAAGAACGCAATTGTTTAATTTAGATTGTTTGCCAGAGGAAGCACGCTGATCAAAGATAAATCTCACCGAAAAGTCCGTCGCAGAAGTTTTGTACAATCATTGCCTTAGCAACATGTGCAATCGAGCCGATCGACTTATAGAATATAAGCGTTCGTCAGACATCTGTGGCAACTGGATACAGTACACCTCTGAAACTTAGACGCTTAACCGTGTGACCTAGTCGTTTCCTCTGCAACGCTTTTGTTTGTTCTTTCATGCGCGCGACGAGGTTGCCGTTATTGTTGTCACGTCTGAATCTGCGGACGCTGAATTGCGGTGGGTGGAAGCCTAGCCTAGTTTCTTTGTTCACTAATGAGCTGATAGAAGTTTACCCGTTGTATTTTTCCTCTGGTAATTTTGATGGCTTGTTGAGGACAAATAAAATCGTTTAGTTGATGTTAAGTAGCTCAGAACAGAAATTTAATTGCAATGCTAATGAATAAAAAGTCGAAAAACATTTATAAATAATTAAGTCAAGGCCTATAAAATGAAGTTTTTATAATGCAAAATTTTTATGACATTATCCCGTCTCTGTAAGTGACACCCGCATGAACTGCCACCGGCTACTGCAAACGAAAGAGTCAAATACGATCAGTTACCGATTTAACTGCTTTTTCAAGAGATGTGACTTAGGACCGAGATCTCCGCAGTGCTTTGTCTATCAGCACGACCAGTTTCCTCTCCAGTACTGTCTTAGTTATCTTTATCAAAATCCGCTTTTATTCCTATAGTGAACCACAAATAATATTGCCCTTCGTTGTAGCAGGCACATATTGCGTACCTTGACTAAAGCATGAAATCCGAATGCAAAATAATCTTTAGTGAGTGTCCAACAGTTGATCAATAATTTGTCGCTCCAATGCTTTATATGGAATAAAATTTCAGTTCGCTAATCTGCAGAAGTATTTAGATCTATGACGACTGATTAGTGCCTAAAGTAAACAAATGCAATTTTAACCCGAAAAAATTACCTCGAAACTTTTTGATTGTAACCAATCTAGGTTTTGATGATTTCCTTGAATCCACCGAGACTCTGAAACTGAATGAATAATTTCAAATCACTCCCGGTTGCAACCAATTGTTCGGTATTTGGACCGTTCCAAAAAGGATTTGGATGACATTTCGTTAATAGTCTATTTCTTCACGAACTAACTTTAGTACTACACGGTAAGTTAAACTGATACCAACAGGGACACTAGTAGCCGTATTGCTTTAAGATAAGTTGTCCTGTACAACTGTTACTAAAAATGAAAACCACTCTTTGTTTTACAACTACTGCTGTTTTACATTAATATTTGCTTTCTTGTGTGTTAGAGCACGATTAAGAATGAGCACATAAGGTGTTAATGGAAATTACATCAGGGTAAATTTCCGTGCTTAGTTGAATTACGTGACAGTAGCACCCGTATCAAACCAATCTTCATTATGCTAAAGAATGCCGAACTAATTCTGCTTTTTTATTATACACCTAAATGTGATGAACAGAAGACGGGCGAACCCCATAGTCACGAGGACCTGCTGTTCAGTGGTGGAAATCTGCAATCTGAGCCCAGGGACTTGGAGTGGCGAACCACATAAGGCTTCGCTAGGTTAGGCTACTTCCTTTATTAAATGATATAGTACAGCTTAATAAACTCCGATAAATCGGCTGCTGAGAGAGAAGAATAAAAAGAATAAGTTTACGCGGCGCTGGTACAGTTTCAGCACAAAACTTCTGACCCGATTCGCTGGTTGCCAATACCTCATGGTTATCACCACTGATGAAAAACACTGTGTAAGAGAATGAAATACGAGCAGCGCAAAATACGACATTATGAGACGCAAAATCCTTACAGCCTTCAAGGCTCAATGAAAATACACTCTATATAAAGAGACAAGTAAATAAATAAAACCCTTCCAATACTCTTACATTTATGAGGGCGAATAAGTTAAAACGATAAAAGTGGATGATGCAAATGCATCGGCAAACCACTAGAACCAATTTACTCATCTGAATACTTGATCGAACTTATTCTAGGGGATGCCACAATTATTTACGTTTGATCTATTGTGGTTATTTCTTTGTAAGCAGCATCAGAATATAATTATTGCTGGAGTGAAAAAGGAGGATTAGCACAGAAAAAAATAACAAAGTACATCATTCCATCACTCAATGAAAGGTAGAATAACCTTAATATCAATTTACTTGGTACGTTTCAGTATAAAAATAAGTTAGTATGGTACGCCAACTTAGTGTTGTAATTTCACAAGACAGTGCCGGGACGACGAACGTTGTTAATTAGCAAAAACTGTAAGAGTGTCAATAAATTGAAGTACATAAAACAAAACGTCGCATCTGGAACAGGTCAACCATAACTTCCATAAGAAAGCCAGCTATTTCATGTAACGGTCCGTCATTAGATGTGCCAAGTGTGGAGTTACATGAGGTCTTGTTCAGTTTTGATCACTGCGAGACTCCGCCAATCGCGTCCTTTCCCCTAATCCAACCATAACAGTTAAAAATGTGATTTGGGCATCCCAACAATGCTCCTCTAGCGAAAAGGATCTCTGAGTGCATCGTCCAAAATTATTGATCCAGAATCTTAAACGTGTTTCTCAATTCGAAAGGAATTATTTAGTCTTACCCATCCGACCGCATTTATACACTTCAACAGTAAATAAATGCTTGCTGAAAGGTTATAATTCATTATAAGCGCCAACGTTTCCGAATCCTCTTAAGGGAGTTATCTTGATCATTGAATTGAGCTAATCGTTTTTCCTACCCCGAATTCACGCACAACCTTCACACGGTGAATGGGTAAAACTGATAAGTTCTACTGAGAGCGAAATTTGAATCTAGTACTCATGGGGTGGCTAGATGAATTTAGGATTTTCCTTAAAGAGGGAGTCTAACGAACGGTTTATTCTATAGAATCCCTTCCACACCACCACTGAAGGAATAATGTTATTTAAGTGACAATTAACCTTTATTGGATCAAGATTTATCTTTCTAACACCAACACTTATCAGTGGTTATAGACTGGGGTTAGTGCATGATTCAAAAGAGGACAATGCCTAATAATAGAGACATTGTTTTTACCAACAAAGTCATTATCAACCTTCGTTTCTGGGGTTTGATTTGCTCTGAATATCTATACCACATTTCACAGTTTTTTTGTGCCAATGAGTCTACAACTGGGGGGTCAACCGATTGATTAACATGTTATTTTATACCCTCCTCGTTGTTCATCAGTGATCGTGATAAAACCTGCCATAGAAATAACTGCACAAATGTAAAGCAATCAACGTTTCTATTCGTGAAAGTATAGTGCTCGCTTAAATAAGAATTTAAGTATTCCATTACTCAAAAAATGGCTAGTGTAATTTAAGTGATTTTGGTATTGAGCATGCTCGGTAATTCTGAATAGTAGACATATATCGGTTTACGGATAAGCATGGTGCAAACGCCATAACAATGATAACAGTGACATATGGGTGGATTGGGATACAGACCGGACTGTAAAGAAGGCTGTTTAATAAACAGCACTTAGTACGACCGAAACAACCCAAAAAGTAATTCCAATGTGCGGACCACACTAGCGTAATTTTTCCACATAAAATCACAGGATGTGTCGTCATTTCTCATTTTGGGTCTCGTTTTCTTCGAAATGAGATACCCGTTTAAATTAGGGGAAACACACATGTATGACTTGGTGAAGTAAAAAATGTGGGCAAATTTCAAGGAATATAGATTGTACAAAGTAGACTATAAAGGTCCGTAAAATAAATAACGCGGGGTTGTTTAACTATGCTCTAAAACATAACCATCTGTTTTCGATTTTCTCATGCCAGAATTTTGATAAGATTGTAATGCCAATATTTATTGCTAGTGTCAATAACCTTCTAGAAAGTTATGATATGCTAAAATAGTTATTCAAGTAAGTGCGATAAAGCTGATCTAAGAGCGGAAATCACGGATGTAAAATATCCTTGTTAGGCGTGGGGTAAAAAACGATAATGTTTTTTAAACTAGTGAATAATTAAATGAGTAGTATAAAGCGAATTATTGATTAAGTTAATTTCTCCGGGACTTTGTCTACCAGAGTATCGAGTAAAAGAACGTGTGCTAGATAGATAGCAACTTGGTTTCAGAGCCTCATCAAAAGTAAAATGTATCTTGTTTCAAACAACTAAAGTACTACAATGTAATTGACTTAAAATTAGAAGTAAACCAGTTTGAAAATTCGATCTCCAGTTGGATCGATGGCTTCGCATTGCCGATGAGACCCAACCAGGTCGAAACATGTAAAATATTATTTTACCTTTATCTATCTCATCAATAGATGACATATGTGGGAACTTACCGTCGAAACACCTAACCAACTCAGACAGAAAAGTTTCCCTGCCCACATGTCTTCAAGTCGAAACAGTTGTACAGGGCTTCTTAGCTTTTCAGTTCACACTTCATTTGCTCTATGCCCGATGAATTCCCCCTATGGAGTATGAGAATGTTTGATACCTTCTTCCTGCAGTTGAATACACCTCTTTGTTTGCATTTTGATTAGATCATGGTATTTCTTCAAGATAGAAAAACAGCTGATTTCCTAAAGTTTTTTAGCGTTAACGGCAATATGATCGTTGTAGTTTGAAATATTTGCCATGCATGATAGATAAATAATGCTTTTGATTTGTTGTTTGTCTTCAGGACCGAATTCCGTGCAACGCCGTCGGGGCCGACAGACTTACAGCCGTTACCAAACACTGGAGTTGGAAAAAGAGTTTCAATACAGCCACTATTTAACACGCAGAAGACGCATAGAAATCGCACATAGTCTTTGTCTAACTGAACGTCAAATTAAAATCTGGTTCCAGAATCGGCGTATGAAACTGAAAAAAGAACGCCAACAGATTAAAGAACTGAATGATGAGTCTGGTCGTCATGGATCACGTGACGCTCCTCTGTCAAATAATCGGATTTCTACTGACATCAACCGTTCAGTATCATTCTTGGATTTGAGTTCGAATTCCTCCAACTACTACACACCTGGTGCATCCATTGGAGTTGACCTTGTGAACAGCAACAATTCAATGACTAGCACCACAGCGGAATGCTTGAAGTTCACGGCCCTGGACAGAAAACCAGTACTGGATTCCGACCTGGTTATGGACCCAAAGTCGTTGAATTTCCCCAATGGTGGTGAACATATATTTTCGCCCGAGTTTATCACATCGGTTAACCGTGGTCTACCAAGCAACAGTACGGTCGGTTCAATGTCGTTCCCGGTCATTCATCTGATGCACTCTGTTGTATCGGAGGCAGGAGACGGAGAAACACCAGACAGTGAAGTAGATGCTGAAGACGATTACGAAGACGATTACGAAGAAGAGGAGGAGGAGGAGATGATGCGTATAAACTCAGCTGATTGTACCACTATAACCACAACAGCAACACAATCCGCTTGTATTGCAGAAAGAAATATTATTGTCTCTAATACACGAGCACCTAGGATGGATCACAATATTTTGCGAAACAACTTGGTGCGTTCAAATGTGGTATTATCTACTGAGTGACAAGTGTAACTACGGAGATCTCTTGATTGTTAACTTCGAAATCAGCGTAAATGAGAGCTTTGTCACCTGAAAGCATCTGGAGGCATAATGATCAGCAGAAGTGAATAACCTAAGAAAAAGGACTTCATGTCCTATTGTTGCGTTCAATCATTCACCGATTTGCGAAATATTTTATATATTCATTCAGTTGCCGTTGACAAAGGACATAACACAGCAGCATCTGTTTCTATGTTTGAAAAAAGGTTACATAGGTTGGACATAACTGTGTATTCAATGTATGTATCTTATACTATCCTTTATTTCTTCTATTCCGTTTCCTCTTTTTGAGCGTGAGGGAGAAATCAGTTTAAAATCTAGTATTTGGTTTGAATAGTGTGATTAAAATTGCTCTAAATATTTGTTCCTTTTTCATGTGTTTTACATAAGATGACGAAAACGACGTAAAGGTCACTGGGCTTTGGTAAAACTCTTAAAATGTATGAGCGCATTTAGACCCAATAATTGAAACTGCATTTTGTCAATTTCCATGATGCTACTTGTGGGTCAAAATTAGGAATGCTTGAACCCATTTATCATTTACTTACTAATTTACGAATACCACAATCGACTGCATTCCGAGTTATTTGCAGAAAGTTTATTGCATTTCGTAACGAAAAGTGATAACTTCTATCTTATCGCCTTGCTAGAATTCTTTTCAGTTAGGATATATGTGGACCTCCTGATACATTCGAACAAGTATGTAAGCGATAGATCGTAATGTAGTTTGCTCTTCAAATGTGCAAGATAGAACTATGTGGCAGGTCCTTAATGCTAAAAGATCTACCACATCTGAAGAGTATTGGAAACCAGTGACAGTCAGCGACCGCAGGAATAACTTTGCATGAAACTGGAGGAGATATGTAATCCGTGAATTGAGTTCTGTTATTTCAGGTAAAACCAGACTTCTCTGTATTCTTCCTCGATGACCTACTATTTTCTGTATGTGGGCATTGTATCAAATTATCATACCATATTCAGCGAACGATGTTTAAGGCGATCTTTAAGGCTTGTCAAGAGTGATTATTGTACGTATTCTGGTGAACAGTAAAACGAAGTACTTGATATGAGATATACTCCGCCGCACTGCTTTTCAGAGAAAATGATGGGGTGATGCAATGTCCTGGGCATCCATGAAGATTATACAAGAACGTAATTTTCTACAGAAAGTGCAATGAGGGATTTAATGCCGGAAATTATGACGCATTCTAAATGACTATGAGAGAGATAAATACGAATACTGAGCGGAATCACTTGTCAGGTTTCAAAGAAGTAGCAGAGAGTACATATTCTTCCAAGGGGTTACTGAACTTTTAGGTTCAAAACATGATCACCGTTTTCTGCTTCGCTCACGGTACCGTTTCACGAGCAACTGGGGTTAATTATTGATCTGTTCGGCGGAACATTTCTCTCATATTGGGTACTGCTTTGATAGATTGAAGCCGATATTGTGTTAACAACTACAAGGTGCAATGACTACATTATATTTGAGATATACTAGGTAGGAAGAGCAAGTCACATCAAATCTGACTAAGCGAGAAAGAGGTACCTTTGGGAAACAGTATACAAGCAACATGGATTACAGCGTAGAGAGCACTAGTAGAATAAAATACTAAATAACACCTCATAGCAATTTTGTTGGAAATATTCATCAATCCGTTCCCCATCGAAGCAAGTAAATCTCCTTCATACTACTCACTAGAATTTGTGTAGGTGTGGCATGATCCATTAAATATTGGCGAAGGATGTTTTTGTTCTGTTCTCCGTGCTGGAAGCGTTTATCGCAGACGATTCATAACCAGACTAGGTAACATCAGCAGTTTAGCGACGGGGAAGCCGAAGTTGCGCTGATGATTTTGCCTAGCCTGATTAAGAACTGTCTGCGAACAACACTTCCAGCTCGGAGAACACACCAACACCAGCATCCGCATCTCAAGCTACAATCATTCCACATTATTTGCGGAGGGTTTTATGAGTTTCGTGTATACCGGAACTAAATTTCTCATTGGTGAGCATTAGGTTGTACCTTTTAAATTACGGGATTGGTCCCCAGACACACAGAGAGAGAAAGCCAAGGGTTGATGGTGTTAATAAGTTTCAATGACACCTATCAAGCGTGTGCGCAGTTCTCTCTAGTTGTTCGAACCGGGTATATTTTATGCAATATATTATGCAATTCATTCTTGTTACCCCTTAAGCGTTTTCATTATTGTTTATTTATTCCCACGTCTCACGTCTCATGCCCATTCTTATTCTTATCGAAGAGAGCGAGTTCCAGAACATGAATGCAGCAAGCATGTGATAATTGCAGTGAATGATAGCCCGATTACAATCCGGATGCACACTGTGTCCTACCGGCTACGAAAATTCTTATAGTCTTATAGGTCAACAAATAAAACTTGAAAATTTGTTTGCTACGTTTTTGACTCGTTGGCAGCTCCGGGCAAAGGACGACTGCTAATATTTTATTGTCATCCAGTATCAAATAAACTTCGATTTCAATTTGTTGCAAGATGTGAAAACCTTCCATTTCAATCTAATTTAGAGCACAAAAACGTTTTATTGCTACAGAGTCACCGATTTAAAATTACTAGAATTTAGGTTATATGTGAATCAGTAGAAAATCCCTTAATAATACCTCATTGCCAAGAACATGGTAAGATTGCTCGAATCTTCAAGCTATAGTTTCTTCATATAGAAACCAAAGACCGGCTTAGCTGAACTGGAAAGTTAAGGCAAAATCTGTTATCTATCTATCTATTACCTGTTTCATTCCCATCAGTATACAGCCAGTCATATAAAAATTACCTATCAGTACCATGCATCATCGTCGTGCTTAATTGAATCTTGACCGTTTTATTCAGCAAATTCCTCAATCAGGATGTTCCTTTATCCTGCATATTTGGACTAGTCATGCAAAAAACGGCTCACTGTGTAAACATGACTTCATCTCATACATGAGCTACATCTCCATTCCTCAATCGGTCGTTATTGGGGCCAAAAGATAAATGCTATTGTTGAAACTCGTTTATCAACGCTAAATTCGCTTGCAACTGAACTCATGTTCAAGATCGTAAAACATTTCCTTCGATGAAAACCAACAAAGTGGAACAGCAAAGAGGATTCCTTTTGTTATGTCGCTTCAGATGTTTACATAATTATGGTTTCGTTTCGCGTTGTATTACTAAATTTTCCACTCTGATTTCGGATGTGGTGGTGGCCCGGTTGTAACATCACCATGTTTACGATAGATTTTTCACTCTACTTTTCGTTATTTATCTCTTTTTAACCTCATTGCTTGTTGTCTACCGAAAAATCCGGACACAATTTCATCCAACACCAACTTGGGTCAATTTGTAGTCCACTGAAGAATCGAATTAGATATGTGAATGCGTGAAATGACGTATCGTTAATATATTTAATCGCGTTTCCACTTTTTCTTATCAATCCGAATTTTACAAATCCCAATTTACCTACTTGAATGATTTCAGTAGAAAGAGTAATATTTTGTCTTGGTTTTGGTTTTGTCATTCACTACCATAAGTTTTGTGAGCAACCCATCGACACTTATTTCCTTCAGTCCCCATAATGAAACACAACTCCATAATCACATCATTGTGCTTAAAATGATGTCGTTGTTCTGATGTGCTCTGTATTGTCACTACTCTCACGGTAGCCTAATATGTGGTTAGATGGTGCTTAATCTTGACAGTGAAAACATGTACAATGTGCTAGAGACAAGGCAATGTAGTTCTATCGTATTGTGTTGATAAACCGGGCACAAATGAAAGTTATATTTCAAAGGGAACAAAAAGGTATACTGTATATGATACGAAAGCAAACAGAAAATGACATGTTCGTGCAACTGGGCAACAGTAACGTGCAGTTCGGCTGACGCATTTTCATTGTCAGAGGAATGGGATACGGTACCCGCGAATGCATACACTAGTGGGAATAATTCTAGCAAGCAAGTCAACTGTGGATATTGAGCGCCAGAATAGGAAATCATCATTGAAACGATATTCAGGATTTATTATTGCTTAAATCGTATAACTGGTTTTCTATGGTTCAAAAACTGGGATCAAACGAACGTAAGTAATAAGAGTATACCTCAGTGTAGATCCTATAATTGCTTCTTTATTGGTCTCAGGGAAGCTACAGAGGAGCAGAGGAGTGAAACTTTTAAAGAGCAAAGAAAGAAATGAATTGATTGTTGATGAGATATTATCCACGCATGTGCCAGACGACTTAAAAGATATAAGTACTCAGAAGTGATTGTTAAGCAACGTTACCTGCAGCTGGTGGATCCACAGTACATCATAAAAGTTGAGCGAGGAAAAGATAAAATGTCACGTACTGAAGGCAAGATGATTGTGTGACATGAATATCAAGTTGCAACTGTGCAATCGGATTGAGTAAATCATTGACTCAATACCGTCGCAGTTTGCAAGTAGGGCGAATGGATATTGTTCAATGACTTTGATGTATTCTTTACACTCTGCATTTGGGAAAACCAGAGAGCACACCAATAATAAGTCAAACCAAGAGAGATCCTCACTTTAGTGATTGTAATGGTATCTGTCAAAACATTCTTCTCTAATAATTTATTAAGACTTCTGAAACTGGTGTCGGCAACACTATAATGAATGGAAAACCTCTTTAAATAAAGCAGAGACAGTTTTCACATACCCTATCGGAAAGCGTACAAAATTTTTGTCTGTTCTGAAAAACAGCAAAATAATGTTAATAACAAAATGATAATTCGAACACGAAATTAGATCAAGTTTTTGAGGAAAATGTGCAACTGCTCTATGAGTAAATCACACTTACAATGTATAGCTGATACCTGTTACCAAGAGAACAACAGAAAGAACAACAAGCTTGCATTGTGTTTGCTATCCACGTCATAAGTTTACCTTGTCTCTATGATTTAACCAGAGTGAACTTAGCAGATTCAGGCTATGGATTGAAGGATCACAGCTGTTAAGCACTGTTTATGAAAAGCATGTGGGACCATAAAATATCTGCTGCAGAATCTACAACTTGTGCAAACTGCAACCATACTCCATAAGGAAATTTTGTTTCCGAAAGATTCTGCATAGTCGAGGTTTTGGTCTCTTAGATTATAACTAGTCGCTCTTCCATTACACATCATGAAATAATCTTACATAACCATATGTCTCGAATAGTCTCAGCTACAGAAGCTTTACCAGCTTCTGTCACGTGTTGCAGTCGTTTGACCCACCAACATGAGAGGATGAAAATTCAACATCCGGGGCTAAAATGGGGTCAGAGAATTACTAGGAGTTAGGGGAATTGGCCAAAAGCCCTGATAATTAACCAGCTAAGAGCAGGTGTACGCAACACACCAAAACCATTCTGGTTTGGG